AAAATTAATGATCATTTAGAATATACCTCTTTGGCAATTTGTTGCAAAAGCTCTGTTATCTCGAAAAAGTCTGACAATTTAGTTACGATATCTACATTGCATATAGTCCAATAAATATCTTAAGCTTTCTGCACCACAGCAACCATGATCATAGCTGTCCCCACTGGACTCAAAATCTTGGCTAGGGAGGGGAACAACAGCTGGAAACGGCTGCTAATACCCCGTAGGCTCAGGAGCAAAAGGAGGAAACCTCTCCTCAGGAGGATAGATGGGGCAATTCGGATGAGATCTAATGTGGATCCAACGCAGCCAGCATCTCTCAAGCAGCTCAGCAAATTTTGAATGAGTATGTTTTGGAATAATTGGCCGCAGTCCCTAGAAACAAATAAATAAAAAGGAGCAGAGATTCAGAACCTGGGTTTAAATCCCGGGTTTCAATCTTGGGTCGAGGTCCGTGGCCCTTGATCTTCAATCACGCGGGGCCTGCATGATTCACATCGAGCCTTGCCCTTTGGCTCCAAACCCAGGATTTTATCCCTATTTGAGCATCAATTTCCAATAAAAAGTGGCTAGAGTTCAGTTTTGATGGAAAAGATGATTTTCCAGAGTCTTAAGAAAACTTTTGCTTCATGTAGATGGAAGCTAATTACAAGTCAAATAACCAGACTACATTTTAGGCTAGATGCTTTATCTTTTGCACCACTCCAACTGTCCCTTGTAAAGGAATTAAGTACTCATATGGAAGCTGGAAGGAAAATATTAAAATTTCAACTAGAAGCGAAGCCAAAAAATACACTAATTTCGACATTTTGAACAAAACATACCTTTTGTAAATGTTATGCCCTAGGTTCAATTGACTTTGGATATAAATACTTTTAATATAAAGTTGATGTGATTTATGATATATGTATTATTTAATTAATTAATATTCAATTAAATTAAATAATGGAGTCCGTAGATTCAAATCTTAGTAATTTGTTAATTATAAGGACTTGTAATTGTGAGATACAAATTACATATGAATGAATCTTAAATTATTCGTAGTCGTAAGTAATGACGAGATATTGATATCGTTATTATGGATAGATCATCACGTATGTCATTTCTTATTTGTAAAGTAAATAGCTGATCTTACAAGTTAAAATGTTGTGACACTTGAATGAATATGTGGATGTTTTGTTATAGAACAAAATATTGGAGACCCGTCAAGAGATTTCACATGGATAACTATATGAGTGTCAGTGGTTAATCTCTAACATTTGGTGGAACGAAAGAATAGCAAACGAGTTTGCAGATTTCAAAAAAGGTAGGACTTTTATCACAATTTCTATCTAAACATAAAGACGATTCTTTGTGAAAATAGAAAATTATTTTATTTTCCACTGTGCATGACAAGTAGATTCTCAACAGTGGTATCAGAGTTTACTTTTTGTTTGTTAGAAAATATTTTGCATCCTAGAATAATAAAAAGTTGATTATTTTTGTTTTTCATGTTTTTAGCAATTAAGAAATTATTTCATTCAAAATTTGATTTTGAACAACAAATAATAATAATAATAAATTGTATCGGACCATGGCAGGCCGCCGGCAAGGCTACAGCGTGCTAAAGCACGCTGCACAACGACGCTCCTACCGCTATGTGATGCAGCAACCAGTTTTGCTGCTTTCAGGTGCAGCCCATCATAGTAGTGCCGATTGTACCTGAATGCTGCAGCTTGCTACAACGTCCAACGTTGTTGTAGCTATAGCCTTCGACGCTGTCACACAGGCAACGTCCCACCTACAAGGTGGAGTACGTCACCAGGCGACGTGCTGTCAATGGGTGGTGCAATTTTAAGTTTTTCTTTAGTTCAGGCGAGAGAGGTTGGAGGCGGGGCTTCTATTGCAATTAATGTAATTGCAAGCCCTCGCTTGCAATTATAAAATAAGGGTGATTGTGCAATTTTAAATAAAGGGTTGATCTGCAATTTTTGGAACTTTGAGGGCCGCCCGCAATTAAAGATTTCAAGGGCCAAGTTTGTAATTTTATAATGAAGGGCCTTCTTGCAATTTGAGTAATTTGGGGGCCTGTTAATAATTTTTAACTGGGTCAAACTGCAATTTCCAAAATGGTTTTGAATTTGAATTAAAATTATATTTTAAATGGGTTTGACCTATAATTTTAATTTTGACCCAAATTAAAAGTTTTATTTAAAATTGACGACTTTTCATATTTCGTTAAAATTCGATTTGAACTTAAATATTAAAACTTTGACCCCAAATTGAATTTCATTTTTTTGTGGTGTTAACCTAAATTAAAATTTAATTTAATTTTAAATTAGAGTTGGACTCTAATTTAGTATTTAACTAAAATTTGATTTTAATTAAATAATTCACTTTAATATGTTCTTGAAATTAGAATTGGATTCTAATTTGACGTTTAATTAAAATTTGATTTTAATTAAATTATCTCACCCTAAAATTTTCTTGAAATTAGAGTTGGACTCTAATTTGCTATTTAATTAAAATCCGATTTTAATTAAATTAATTCGCCCTGAATATGGGAATTAGAGTTGAACTCTAATTTTGTTAGTTAATTATAATTTGATTTTAATTAAATTCAACAGCCTCAAATTTTGAAACTAGAGTTGGACTCTAATTTGATATTAAATTAAAATTTGATTTTAATTAAATAATCCCACCCTATAATTGTGGAATTAGAGTTGGACTTTAATTCGGTATTTAATTAAAATTGGATTTTAATTAAAGATGGCCGCTAAATTATTTAGTTGTTTCAATTCATTTGTTTAAAAGAGTTTAGACGATCTTAATTGCTAGAA